AATCTAGATGAATTCGTGTTAAATTCGTTTTAATTCGTATTGAAAACGTCTCCAAAGCATTGAGCACAACGTTAAAATTCGGCTAATCCTAAAAGACTCACATGGAATTAAATTTGTAAAATCTAGATGAATTCGTGTTAAATTCGTTTTAATTCGTATCGAAAACGTCTCCAAATCATTGAACCATCCCCAAAATTCGGCTAATCCTAAAAGACTCATATGGAATTAAATTTGTAAAATCTAGATGAATTCGTGTTAAATTCGTTTTAATTCGTATCGAAAACGTCTCCAAATCATTGAACCATCCCCAAAAGTCGGCAAATCCTAAAAGACTCAACGTGTTCATCTGAATCCACAAACGACAGGATACCTATAGGTGGCCAAACGTCACCGGCCTCGATCTTCACGGCCATCCAAACACATAAAACCAAATTACCATCGGCGAACGCTTGAAAATGTTTCCAACGTATCTATCGCGTTCGTTCGACCTGTCCAGGGTCAATGCACCTAACTATCGCCTCGAGTAGTGGCAGCAAACGTAAAATTCCACGGGACGGGTGTATCGCAGGCTCCGTTGGCGACTCGAAGCCTCGCGCAACTAACATACGGAAGATTTATCTTGTAATTTTCTCGAGGTATACGCATCGACAGGTTTTGACAGAGCTCAGCACGAAACCAGTCGTCCGGGAGCGAGTTCGGTTGCCGCAGATATGCAACGTCGCAGCTTGGCTATTGTACATACAGGCGTACGCGCGAACAGGTTCACCTGTATCCCGACCACCCTGGACATCCGTACAAGTTAAACGCGCGTAATCGACACGTGAGTCTACACCGCATCAAAGAAACGGGACGAGTTATCGGCAACTCCCGCCACGGACAACCGTCGACGAGATTAAATGGTATCCCAACAACGCGTTCCTGATAATTAATCGATGATCCTACCGCGAAAATTACACGGGAACACGCTGTTGCTCTCCGTCCACTCCCTGAAGACGATTCTAACTCCGCGCACAGAAACACACAGCATTGCCGGGAGCAAACATAAGTGAGCGACATCCGTGTGATTTAGTGATACACCCACTCGAGCGTTCTGTGATATGAGATGCTCGCGAGGTTTGATAAATAATAATGCTACTTACGGGAGAAATTTAATCCAGCGTAAATTCGACTTTCACGTAAATGGTATTAGAGAGACATAATGTGCGTAATACATGAGACAGTAACTGTAATTAAAAATGTAATTTGTATGAATTTTACGAAAAGAGAAAGATACAATTTTTTTTTTTGCGAAAGCACCCAGTTATCACAACTTACCGAATGTCCCTGTTTGATAAATTGTAAATATCCTTGGAAATACAAACAGAAATACTTGTAAACTTTAAAATTACTATCTCTGTACATATTATAAAGCAACGGTAACTCGGTGAACTACCGAATACTTTTATTTTTCATATTACAATTTAAACAAATGATGAAGACGTCGCAAGATACGACAAATTTATGTAGCAGTCAAGGTATTAGATGAGAACATACAATTATACAATGCGTTATTGAAGTAATGACATTGTCGTTCAATATCAAATAAAAAGTTAACTTTTTTTTTCCCGAAAGCAACATTAAACCGTCCCCAAGATCTGATCAGGATGGAGATTGATGGAGGATTGACACTCGTCTCTTGTGTATGTACATATTGTATAATAAACTTCTTACTGAAACGAAAGTGTCGTTGACAATGACCGTCTCACCGAGATAAACCTCTTACTGAAACTGAAGCCTCGGTTTTCCTCTACAATAAATTTTGTATCGAGACCGAGTCATCATTTTTCCCCGACAATGAATTTCCTATTCATACTAAAGTCTCACCATTGACAGCGTGCTTCTCGTTAGAAATGAGGCCTCATCTTTCCTCAACGACGAACTTCTTGCTGTGACCGAAACCTCAATTTTCCTCGACAATAACTTTCCTACTGAAAATAACTCCTCGACAACAAGCTTGTCACTGCGTAAGTTATATTGCGGGATTGAGACGCGATACAAGGATCAGATTAGCTAGAATTTAATCAACAAGACACGTGATTTACGATACAAGAATCGAATACAGACTAATTGAAGTAAAGCGACGTTAATGAACAGGGCACTCGGGTCGAACGGCTGTTGGTGGTTAAAAATACAGGCGTATTTCTAACAAACCGAAGCCTCATGTTTCCTCGACAATGAACTTCCGAGACATCCAGCGAACAATAGTTAACCCGATTCACAGCGATGAGTTATAATTGACCGATCTAGGTCGAAGCCACGGTTAATTTCCTGGTCCTCGTGTTTCTTTCCCCGTGTCAACGAGAGTCACGCCTACGTTTAACGTTTCCCACTTGCGTTTCGATCTTATCAAGCAGCTCGAACATAGTCGGACGCTTCCCTCGCGGATTCCCGACACCGTCTTTAACGCAAAGAAGCTGGCCGTATCGGGATAAAATCGCCCGATGGAGAACGCAACCACGATTCACGATAATCGATGAATGCCTCCGAGACAACGGCGATCCATGCTCGCTACCATCTTCGATCTCGCTGACTACCATCTCGATCACCAGTTAAGCACGGCTTATTTCGACCAGATCTCGCTTTCGTTGCTCACTGTTCAGTCGTCGAACATCCTGCATTGATAACAGGTATTGGGATTCGTGGTTCGCAACCGAACGTTTCGCTGTCGTGCACTGTATAGATTCGTCGCGGTGTGTATAGATTCGAGTTCGTTAAGTGGCAGGCTGAGAGTCAACGATTGATTTATGAAATCAAAGACTGCGTTAGGGTTCGATAAGAAACAATTCGTTATTTCTCGCTATTTTTGAATCGTATATGAAAGTACAAGTACGTAGAATGATTACGCCATACGCGATCATTCTTGTACACATGTATTCTTTAATTTAAAATATATTTAACGAGGTTTCTGGCCGCAAGGTCCTTTTTCCTCCGGGTTTATCCCCAACTATCGTTGTTTTTATTTACTAACATGTTTATTTGCATTTTATTATCGGTAGACTGCGGATCTTTCTGCATTCATAGAAAATTTGAATGCGCAAGAACCTACAAAATGCAAACACTATGCAAGAATATAAAAAAGATTGAAAGTATCGTTCGTGTTATGATATTTGCAGAATAAAATAAATTCCTATTTAGATTAAATTTTTGTAGTCACGTTCGCCAAGATTTCATTTTGCATAAAGAACCGCAGTCTAATTATGAGAAATAACTTCAGTTCCGACGCTACGGTTCCAACGATATCCAAATTTCATCAAGATCCAAGACGTTACGCGAAAAAGTGTCCGATTTCGCTGGGAATAGTCCATCTAGAAGTATAAATTTCGCTAAAACAGATAAGTCTCTCCGCAACCGATAGCATGACTCAACCCAGCGTGCTTAGTTCTCTTAGCCCGGTGTTTCGAGCGTAGAAAATCCCCGAGGAAACAATCTCGAGCCGCGTGAAAGCCACAGTCACCCTTGCCAGTGACTAATCCGCCTCCTCCAAACGACGAGTTTCCAGTTTCGAAAATAACGAGAGCCAGCGTCTCGAAGACGTGCCGCTCGCGACAAACTCCCGTCCCTCGTGACCGCGCGGAAACGGATTGCGTGCGCATAAAAGCTCCGGAAAAGGAGTAGAGCCACGAGTAGCATTGTGTTGTGTCTCGCTAGCAAACTGGCCCGTTTCTCTCCCTTTCTCTTTGCACGCGTGCCGGAGACTTTAAGCCCACCACGAGTGACTGATGACGACAGAAATAACCCTGTTCCATCTTTCCGCCGACCAGCCCGGCCGACGCACGTGTCCACGTTCGTGAGTAAACCTACGCAACGCGTCGAGGAAGACGACAAAACAGAAGGAGGCATCCAGCCATTGGTCAGACCGCGTGATTTGCATCGGACAACGGGATACACCGAGGCGGATGGTGCACCGCGCGTAATGTAACCAAGAAAAGGAATCGTGGTATCGTCGAAAAATTGATTCCAGAGCTTCCATTTAAGGGCACGCGTCGTGGTGGGATCAAGCTCCTTTATGCGTGGGGTCAAGATGAACGATTAGTATATTCTTGAAATGAAATCGAGTACGACTGAGATGACGGAGCTAAATGGTTGGGTCCTTATTTGTGTGTACGCTCCTTTTAATCCTCTATGGACGGAATTTTTGTTTTCTCTCCAAACAACCAGCAAGAGACTAGTTTGATATTTCAGGTCGATGGTGCTGCCATCAATATCGTTATTGATTACCAGAGACATTATGTAATTAAGACGTATACGGCATCTTGTGAAGACGCTAACGTTATTCGGTAAAATAATACCATTTGAACTTCGATGTATTAGTTTTCTCGA